TGCAAATGGGTCCCAAGTATCTTAATCCACTTTGTGTTGCTGCAGCTGAGTACCACTAACTGAATAATTTATAGCAAATAGAGGTTTATTTAGCTCATGATCTGGAGCTCCACGGTAGAGGTACCATAACTAATGAGTCTTTTTTGATGGTGGCTCTCTCCAAAGTCCTGATATGGCACAGGACATCTCATGACAAGACAGAGCAAATTTGCTAACTTGGTCTCTTCTTATAAAGCCACTGTAATGTAATCATGATGGCCCCTTGCTCCTAACTGCATCTAATCCCAAATACCTCCTGAAGTCCCCATTTAGTTCTACCTTTTAATAATTTGAAATGCCACATGAGTTTGGTGAGAACATTCAAACTACAGTGTAGGCTATTTGAATATCTATGTGCCCCATGTGGCTACAAATTTGGGAGCTCTCGCAGTCAACCCTCCCTCAGGCTTGATAATTTTCTAGCACCTAATAGAAGTCACTGAAAGTGATATGTTTATGGTTCCGGTTTTGTTTTAAGGAAACTGTTTAGTGGAAGAGAAGGATAAGGTCAGGAACGGTCCAAAGGAACAAGAGTGTGCTATCTTCCCAGAACTACAGTGATCCCTAGCCAGGATGTTCCTAAATTTCTATCCTCAAGAGTTCTATTGGGTTTTCATTACAGAAGTATGATTGATTACATCATTGGTCAGGTGTCTGAATTGTATCCACAGCCCCTCTCCCTACCCTGTATGGGGTGATGGGTGGGGCTGAAAGTGGCATAGCACTTGAGACCAAGACAGACAGTAGGGAGGCAGCAAAGGCCACGGAGGCTGCTGGCCTGTTGCCTGTCACTGGTAGAGATGAGTGTGCTGTCTGCCTGCAAGGTACGGCTGGTGAGACCTGCCAGAGTTGTCTGTCTTTGGCATTTCCCGCTGAACATTTTTATGAATAAGTTGAATGGGACACGGGAGACCTGTTTATCAAATGTATAGGAACTACAGAATTAGAAAACTGATTAGTTGATGAGATCAGCATGTTTAAGTATTTCAGTAGGACAAAATTAACAGGATTACATTTGTATTGTAGAGTTGTGGTGCTGTAAGGCATTTTAGGTCATACTGCCTTAACCATGTATTCTACTGCAAATAAGATCCAGGGAGTTTCCAAAGTTTAGCCAGCATTTGGAACCTGTCATATCCACAGTGGACTTTTTCTCCAAAGCCAGGTCCTCTGAGCAGTTTCCCTCTCCACAAGAGAAACTAGTGGCACCGTGGCCAACCATAAGCCAGCTAGATTTCTTTCTTTTTCTTCTTTTACGGTTCTGCCTCCAGGCGCTGGTCAGCCAGAATGTCTTGTATTATTGCAAAGCCTCTTGGAATGGTAATTCTAGTACAAACTAATCACAAGACCACTCCCAGAACCCCTACACTGATCCCCACTTGCTGGGGACTTCAGCTCTGGCTCAGGTTTCAAGTGTGATTTGATGTGCTTCTACTAGTATTCAACCCATTCCCTCTGGACTGTGCTCCATGCAAGGAGGGGCAGGGGACCCCTGGTGTGGCTAAACCTCCCCCAGTGCAGGTTACATTATACACAGAGGGAGACTGGATAGAAAGGGACTTAAGTGACTTGGTGGGGGGCATGTGCACTTACTCCTTGAACCTTGGACAGCCCTGTGAGGTGGACACTGTCGTCGTCTCGCTTAGAGGACCTAGGTACACAGATTTCAATGGATTTGCCCAACAAAGTTTTCAACCTTGATCCTTTCAGTTCTGCAGTCTGTGCTTCTTCCTATGTGGATGATAGAGATGACACACGTGGCTCTTGCCCCAGAGGAAATAGAAGAATGCCTCAGACTTATGGAGAAATTGAGTGATAAAAAGTCACTCTCTTTTCTCCAGTCTGTAGCAGGTGACTAGTTGGTGGTTGTGATTTCTTTGCTAGACAGACATTTGCTAGGCTGTGTGGGAAGACTCTGGGTGGAATGAGGGGAGTCTGAGTGTAAGGTGACCTCTAGTGCAGCAGATGTGCCCAGAAGACTGGGCTGAGGGACAGAAGTGGGAGAAAAAAAAATCCCCTCTTCTAGGGGTGGGGATGATCACTGCATTGTCCACACACGAAAGTGAAAGAGCAGAAGAAAGGTAAAGCACATGCCATCCCTCAGGGGAGACCTGGAGCAATGGTACCAGTATTTAGGTAACACTTGCCACAGTGAAAGGTTGAAAAAAACCAGCCCCTTTCAACCTGTACATTGGGCATAGAGCATTTCCCAAAGCAATGCATCAATTTGCTGAGATTTCTGTAACACAGTAAAAAAGCCATTCAACCCCAAGAATATCACATATATATTCAGCAGGTTGCATTTGCTTCTGACCAATTCTAACCGAGCCAACAGCTGAGCCCTCTGGAAGGCACCCAGTGATTCTGAACAAAATGTTGAATAAGCAATAATATGTGATCATCCATGAGCTCACAATGTTCCTATTAGTCTTATTTCGAGTTACAACAATACAAGCCTTGTTTGCACACTTCTATTTTTAACTAATGAAAATTTATCACAAAGAAATCTTAATTATCCCTTTTAGAATATAACACAACTGCAAATCCACTGGTAATTTCCTTTTTGCAAAATTTCCCACAATAGTAGAAGAATCTAAGTTCTTCTAAAATAGTTAGTCTATAAATAAACTTCTCTAATGGGCTGAGCAACCCTTTTGCTTTCTTTTTTATGAGTTTGGATAAATCCATATTACCACCTCATGCATGAAGACTGCTTGTTAGACAGGGAACACTGGATATTCTCAGTACCAGCTAAAAGTGGTAACTGATTCATTTCTACAATTCATAGGGCAGACAATGACAAAAATGGTGTGTACTTGACAGGTGTAGGAAGGCCTGGACTGATCTGGTTCTGGCAGCTAAATGACCCTCTGCTCTTGGTCGCCCTTCCTGTTCTCCCAGAGGAAGCAGCGTAAGCTTCATTTAGTGCCCACATCTCCTGAAGGAGGCCCACTTGGGCTATGTAACCCCATGAAGTGGGGGCCATTCTGGTTAACATCATCCCTGCTCTCTACTCCTAGAAGTTGGTAGCACTTGTCAGGTGTGACAGTTCCAAATGAATCTGGACATTGCCAGATATTCCCTGAAGCAAAATCATTCCATTGAGAATATTCTACTAAATATCAAAGAAACCCAGAGCTGGATAATAGTAAAGTGTTCAAATAGCATAGTCAAGACTAATGTATTAGAGGGGAAGAGATCCCAATGCAGAACTCAGTTCAATTCCAAATACAGCTGGGACAAACAAGAAATTACAGCCAAGGATCAGGGTGTGGTTTATGGGTAGGGAATTGTCAACAAGAAACATCAGAGGGGAGGGGATTCTGGCTAAGCTGGGATAGTCAGATATCCCCTTGGGGATAGAGAAGGTGAAGGAGCCTGATAAGACATCTGGGTTATCAGATGTCAAGGATGGGGATTTTGGTGAAACAAATTTAGCAGAGTCCTTGCTCAAATCATACAATACAGAAATGAATATAGAAATCCACCTGGAAAGTTTACCCAGTTTGGTACAGGAGCGAATATTTACCAACGGCCTAAAGTTGGGAATCCCAGACTTTGCAGCATGAGGCTCGTTTTAAAATGAGCAGAGGAAGACCCTACTTCTTAAAAAGGCTGATTCTTTAGGGTCCATCCACTGTGCAGGAGGCACTAAGTTGCCTTGCTCCTTCATTGATGGCTCCTCTGCACAATCCCTGGTCCCACATAAGCCAAGTGCAGCAGAGACAAGGGTGCTGCAGAGCAAGGTCTAGGTACTGGAACCAGTCAGAAAACCTCCACCCATCACACTTGCCACTGGGAATATCTAGTGCCCTGGACTGGTGTGGGGTAGAGCCAGGCCAAAGATCAGCCCCCAGAGAGGTCAGAGTGGGCATGGTGAACCTTTGTTGCAGGTCTGTGTAGGTCACTTGTGCAGGGCAGAGGAGGAGCAGGCTTCATCTACAAGCTCTTGGAAGCTTATAGATGGCGAGCTGCTACTTCTGAGGCCAGGCTGTGCCAGGGAGGTAGAGAAGCAGGATATGAGAGCAAAGATGTATGCATTTGGCAAATCATTTTCTTTCCACAAGCTTTGTAGGAAGTTTCTAGATGCTTCTATAATAAGGCATAAGGCCATGAAGAAATCTGCCAAGGGGCCAGTGACAATAATGCAAACACAGAATCCCTGTTTGATAAGGACAGACCTCTTCCTTTCCTTCCAGGAAAGAAAGACCCATGACCCCCTGGGATCCCCAACGAAGCAATGTTGAGCTATCCAGCCTGGTGAGGTCACCACCAAAGATCCCTCACTCCACCAGTTCTCAGGGCCTGGTCCTGTGACTCTCCTGCCTAGGACACAGTCAGCGCCCTAGTCCTTGGCTGGGGCCACCCTTCAGTGTGGAAGATAAAGACTTCTCCAGGGCCCAGGGGTTTCCTTTTTCCTACAGTCTCTATGGCAGAGCAGGTCCCAGCCTCCCTTTTTGTTGCTAACTCCCCCACCTTTGAGTTCAATCTCACTGCAATGCTTTCTGTCCCCATTGCCGTCTTCCACACTTTTGCCCAATAATGTAGGGAACCAGTGAGTATTCAGTAAAAAGGCCTTCCTTCCCACCATTGCCTTGAGGACTATGTTTACGTGGTGATATGTGTGGACCTTAGTCACCACCCTGCAGGGCATAGGCAATGCAGGGACCTGAGGTAAGGGTCCTGTCCAGAGGTACCCTGGCTGAGTCCTGGATGCTACCCACATGTGCCCTCCAGCTTCTTAAGGTGGTGCACATTGCCCATCTACCAGGGCCTCAGTCTCACTAGCTGGCCCCAAATGCAGCAAAATGGTTTGCACACCAAGGACAAAAATCTCCATCCTTGCCCTGCCAATGGCATCTGGTTTCATTTAAAAAAAAAAAGTTTTCAGATTTTTGAAGGTGAAACCCAGCTGGGTCTGTCTGGGTGTGTTTAACTCTCTGCCTCTTGTTCCCCAAAAGGATGGAAGGCTGTGAGAGTCCCTGTCTGGAGGAAGCAGAGCAGGAGGACAAAGGCGCACGGACACCGCCCCCTAAGATTCTCCTGCCCCTGGAGGAGCGCGCAACCCATTTCCGAGACATGCTCCTGGAAAGAGGGGTAAGAAACCCAGGCAGAGCAAAGGGCCATCAACACTGAGAGGAGCTCCTGAGGACCCATAGTATGTGGACACTCACCTCTTGCTGAGTCCATGATCAGGCTGAGTTCGGTTTCTAGGTGATTTGAAGCTGGAAAAGCAAACCAACCTGGAAGGGATCCCTGCTTCTTATCTCAAGGGAGAAAAGGAAGGTTTGTAAGGTGTGTGGGCAGCTTTCCTGAGCAACTTTTCTTACTTCTGAGTGAGAAGTTCTGAGGGGTAGGGAGAGTGGTCCTTGGGAAGGAATAGGTCACCCAGATTACATAAGGAAGCCCCTGCCTGTGTGTGGAAGATTTTTGCTGTCCCCAGGTCAGGCAACAGTGTCTGACCCTTAGCAAATCCCCCAGGATGTCCTATCTACTAGGGCAGTGATGGCGAACCTTTTAGAGCTTTCAATGATACCAACAGCCTGCTGTGGCAGGTGTGCCATAGGTTTGCCATCACTGCACTAGGAACTACTGCATCTCTGGATTCATGTGACTATTTTTAAGTAAAGTTAGGATACCTTCATTGTAGCTGATTTGTAGATCTTATTTTGAGTAGAGGAGGTTATATTTGAATCATCTGCCAATAACTTTTATTTCTTGCTTTGGCTTTTGCATATAAAATGAACCAGATACAACATTGTAGCCTGGTTGAATTTCTTCACAAAATGAAGCTGAACACAGAAGGTAGCAATAGAGCCTGTACGTGAAGATAATTATAATGAACATTCTAATACCTTTGTGAACTCAACATCAAATTCCCTTTGCAGTCTACAAGGATTCCCAGGCTGTTTCCTAATCCCTCCTGCAGCAGATGCTGCTCAGGGCTGGGCATGGGGGTGATAGGAAGAAACAAGGCAGAACTATTGTGGATCCAGGGCCAGGGCTGGTGTTGGTCTTGGGGAAAGGAATATCTGAGGCTGCTCTAGCTCTTCAGTATTCTAATAGGAAGGGACTTATCCTCCCCTCCCACCTGGGAGATCTCTCTTCATTTTTACCACAATTTGTATGGGTAGATCTTTTGATATAGCCATTCACTCAAAAGAAAATATAGCCTCTGGTCTCATGAACTAGAAGACTGACTTCATTAGGCCAAAGGTGACAGGACATAAGTGAGCTGAAATAGCTTATGTCAGTCCTAGAAAAGGAGCTTAAGCAGCCACTCTGTCACACAAATCTGCACAGGGGTCCCTGCTCTGGGACACCCTCCCAGGCTGCAACGTGACATCCCTAGCATCTCCCATCCCTCCATGTTGCCAAGGTCCTAGAGTGCGGGGAATCTCAGGTACAGCTGGGGCCTGGTACATAGGATGTACATTTTCCTGCTATTTCTTGGGTGTCCTGTAGAACCTGTTTTGGGTGCGGCTGGCATTTTTCTCATGCATCCTTGGCCTGGACCCAGCAGCTGCTTTGGAGGAGACCTAGAGCTTGTGAGGATGGGTCATTTTCCAGAAGGACTGCGGTTCTGGAAGGATGGTTCTTTGCTTTCCCTGTGCTACACTCCTGTACACAGCTGTAGGACAGAGTTGGAGGCGCATCATCAGAATGGAACACAGCACCCTCTCTCCAGAGCCTTGGGTCCAGTTCTTTCATCATGGAGTGAATTTCCCACTATGCTATTAATGGCTTGGACTGTCTTTCAGAGGTTTTCTGCCCTTTACCACCATTTCTATTTACATTACAGGGACATTTCAGAAATTGACCCAGCATATCTAGTCTGACTAAATTATTTGGAAGGGGATGTGGTTTATCTTCCATGAAATATGATGACGTTATGAACTTTTCATTTACTTCTATTATATAACTTTTTATCTCTTTATTTTGGATGCTGGTGAGCCCCATTTACCAATGTAGTTTTATACTAACCTAAAATGGTGTGAGCACTGCCTTCAAGGCAGAAAGGCTGGCAGAGTACATTTATATGGCTCTTGGATTTATCCAAATGGTTTGCTTCAGAGATTTTAGTATGACATTTGCAGAGCATTGTTGACTCATTGGGTGTGGATGATTCATTTCAGTCTTTGAGATTCTTATATGAAAATCAACAAGAATAACAGAGGCTGTGAAACAGCAGCCACAGAGTTGTGTTTACCCTGAAAGAGCCAAGGGCAACTTGTACCTGTCTGATAGGACTTTCAGGAGCCCCCGTATAGCCCATGAACAGAAAAGATCAATCCAAATTTACTACCCATGTCATAAAGCAATGCCACTATTTATGACTTTTGGACTTTATAAAATATGCCAGCAGATTTCATCAGTTGCTCATGTTCATAAGAATTTGATAGCTCAACCCATAAGAGTTCTAGTTGCTTAAAGAACGAGGCATCAAAAGGTCATTCTTTCATAGACTGAGTGATTAATAAGATTTTATATTGCATTTTTTCAGCACTTCAGTTCAGAAATTCACCTTCTTAGGGAATTATGAAGCCACGTCTTGGGGACATCTAACACTTTACAAAGGGCAGAATTTGAACTATTCCATGGGAATTATAGATTGGGAAGGGGGCTATGGTTATGCACTTGTATAGTAAGTAACTTATGATCCAAGAGACATTTCTGTGTTGCATTTTCCCTCCACTTTATAGTAGTACAGTTCTTAGTAGATCTTTCTTTTAAAACTTCAGTCTGTAAAGGAGCAAGTTTAATCCCACCTCAAGTTATTAATTTAATCTGCCTGTTTAGATAAGTCCATCAGAGACATTTTACTGGGATATTTTACTTTGCAAAATGTTTTTGGAAGTAGATTATGTTCACTTATAGTCCAGGAGGTAAAACCTCCTTTCCAGAACAGTAAACTTGCACTCAGGGACTGAGGGACTGACCCTGGGTTGTCTCGGGGTCCTTGTGTGGGACCTCTGTCCAGCTTCCAAGAAGTGGAAATCAGCCTTGAGGAACTGGCTAACCCCTGGGCCAGATCCGTGAGAGTCCCTAGGCTTTGGGCTGGCATCTGTGTCGTGATGAAGAAAGAATGCACAAACCCTCGCCCACGACAACCGGATACCCCACTCCTCCCAGACTTAGGCAGGTGCTGAAGGAGGGCATATCGTCTTCACAGGGGAGGTGATCACGCATAAGAACCCTGCATTCTGGGTGCCTGTGCGGTCTACTGCTGCCCCTCATCTGCTCCAGGGGAGGCTCATTGACTTCATGTTTGTATGGCAGCTCCTCAAGTCTCACAAGCACATAATATATTGTTAATAAAATGAGACTATGTTCCAACGTATCCTGTGCTCATCTCCAAAAATTTGTAGAACAGAAAGATGTACAAGCATCATTTATTAATAATTACATCAATTAACAATAATATTAAGAAAAAAAATCACTTCAAACCCTACCCTAAGCGGTAGTTGTCATCACTAGTGGGGTTCATTTCCTTCCAGTTTTCTTTTTTCTAAAATTAGGTTTTTAGGGAACAGGGTTGTAGTTCTGTGCCACCATGCTTGCCTTGTACTCACAAGGCCGTAGTTCTCCTTCCTGGCACCACAAAACAGAATAAAGTAAAATAAAATCAAGATATTTAAAGATAAAGAAGGACAGTTTTGATTCTAAAGTATAACCAATACTGAACTGCAGTTGAACACAGACAAAAGTTATTTAGCAGTCAGTTTCATAAAGTGCAACCTAATTTAAAAATTTCTATGCTACTGTCTTAAGTAGTTTCAAAAATAACATGAATTTTTGGGAAACCCCTTTGATGAAGATTAATATTTCACCCATTATTACTTCAAAAATCTTGCATTTGCATTTGTTCTGTATATTTCTCAAATTTGCTACTTTAATGTTTTCATTTAACAGTAAAAAGAAATTATTATTTTTTATGTATTTTTGCAATAGTGACATTTGAATCTGCATGCTGAGCTATGTTCTGAGTCTTTTTGTTTGTTTGTTTTGAGACAAGGTCTTCCTAAGTCACTAAGTTGCCCAGGCTGGGCTTGAATTTATTTTCTCCTACTCAGGCTCTCAGAGTACACCATCGCAGGTCTGTCTCCAGCTCTGCTATGTTCAATAATCTGATGATAACAGAGATATATAAACTCATGTGTGTGTGTTGGATTTGTTTTCTACAAGATAAAAACATTTGACCTCCTAGCCAAATCATTCTTTTAAAAAAATTGTTTAAATTGTTTGTTCTCCCACCAACAGTGTTTGAGAATCCCTCAAAATTTGCTTTGCCAGCACCACACTATACCAGCACTGAATAGTAAAAAGGTTTAAATATTTACTACTTATTATTTTAAAAATTGCACTGTACTTGTCCTTTGACTTGTGCTTCCTCTGTGCCTATCTACTTCTATACTTCCTGGCCATGTAACCCTTCTGATGTAACTATGGTCACCTCCCTCAAAGCATTTGAATCAAATGCTAATCAGGGAGCAGTTCTTGGGAATTGTGGCCTGATTATTCTAATTCTAGGTGGAAATATAACTGCCCCTGATGTGAAAATAATCCTCAAAGGCAAAAGAGGTCAGCTGAGTATATCTGAAATAACTGTATAAAACTGGATGTATTTATTAAAAAGGAAAAACAAATGCTGAAATTGCTAATTGCTAACTTCCTGGATTGAGGACAGGTGTGGGTGAATTGGCCCCACTCTGCGGGTCTCCTAGGCTCATCTCTGCAGTTCACCGGGAGTTAAGTAGGCTCTCAGAACTTTCTAAATAGTGACCACTCTCACTTCTAATTCCTAAGGGCAACCCTCACCCAAGAAGGGATTGCATCAATAGATAGGACTTCATTTCCCCCTCATTAACAAGGCAAATCTCTGGCAAGGTTGGGCATGCACTGTTTGAGTCTGCCATGAAGTGCAGAAGCCCACTATGGTCATCTGATTGTCTGTGCGCCATTGCTGGCTCTTATGCTTCTAGGTGACAATTTCAAGAAATGGGCATCTGTGACATGGCGTGCCTTCTGTAGGACGTTTGTACTCATAGGAGAAAATATTGCCTCTAATTTGATTAACAGTGGATATTCTGGGTTCATTATCAACATTTTAATATACCAAGGAGTAGGAGAATAAATACATTTTGCTTGGTAATCAAATTTGATGAGAAACTTTAGCTTCTGAAACAGCCGGGTTTGTGTCTGCAGAGGAAATCCTTCTGAGACTCAGCTCCTGATGACCCAGTCCAAGAGCAGCTCATCTGCCTCAAATGCCCTGTGGGAGTGCAGACATGGCAGTGAGGATGGCAGAAGGAGACAGTACAGACAGATGGATGGAGTATACCTTCCCTCAGGTGTGAAGGAGTAAAGCTGCCCTCAGACACCGACGACAGGAGGGAGTCAGAAGTCCCTGCGTGGTGGCAGGAGGGCCCAGGCTGCTTTCCCTGTGAGCAGCCTCCCCAAGGCTGGGGATTCATTCTCCTAGATGTGACTTGGCCTCAACCATCTGACCCACTGTCCCTTAGGATCCCTGGTCTTTTTATCTATCCAAGGGTGGAGAAACACAAAAGAACCTTCTTATTTGAAAAGATTAATAGGATGCTGTGCTTGCTGTGGCAGACTAGCTAACAGCGGGGGTACCCAATGTTCCCACCTGTCGAGGTCTGTCCAAGCAGTAATAATAACCCGAGGTGACTGGCTGGTGTGAGGTGCTGGCAGCACTTACACTGTTGTACTTCCAGCCATCTCCGAACACTGCTGGACTACTTCACACAAATGGAATCCATTTGTCTTAGAACTGAGTCATCCTCAAGAGCAACACCCCCGCCTTTTTTCTGTTTCTGGAGAAGCTTTGGTGAAATAGGAGTGATGTTAGAGCAGTTTTCTCTGGTTGTTTTTGCAGATAGTCACCACCCCAAGTGATTCTTTTTATACATAAGACCTTGGTTACCTTCTGATGAGTCTGACTGGGGCACATCTGTCCACAGAGGCAGCCACTAGGCTTAGGACATGCCTTGGGGAAGAGGATCTTCCCCTCTGCAGAGTCCCTCAGCCTGGTGTGTGTGGCTCAGGAGGGCACAGTTGACCAAGAAGCAGCCACATTAGGGCTGGGAGAAGAGCTGGGGTCTGAGCAGGAGAACCATACTCACCCAGCTCATAGGGTGGATGGCTGAGGACTCAGACAGCTTTGGAGAAGGCAGGAGCTGTGGATGAAGGGATGATGCTGAGGAAAGGGAGCTGTTGGAACACCTGTGTTCGTCCATTCACCGGATGACTATTGCAGCCATCAGGTCATCATCTTGCTGCTCAATCTAAAAAACTTTGATTTTCCAAACAAGGTTATTTTCATAGAACGTTGGAAACAACTTTAAAAGGAAAGACTTTGTAAATTGTACTTGTACAGGTAATTTATCTTGCTTTCTACATAGATTATTAATTCCTTTGGAGATATA